GGTTCAAACCCACCATCCTCAGTGTATGTGGCTGGAGCCCTACCCACTGAACTATGGGCACTGCCCTCCTTTTTTTTGGAAACAGAGTCTCACTGTGTTGCCCTGGCTAGAGTGCTGCAGCATCATTGTAGCTCACAGCAACCTCAACCTCTTGGGCTCAAGCGATCTTCCTGCCTTAGCCTCCCAAGTAACTAGGACAGGCACTCACCACAACCCCTGGCTAGTTTTTCTATTTTGGCAGAGATGGAGTTTCGTTCTTGCTCAGACTAATCTTGAACTCCTGAGCTCAAGCAATCTGCCTGCCTCAGCCTCCCAGAGTGCTAGAATCACAGGCATGAGCCACTGTACCCAGCCTGAAACATGAGTCTTAATAAACGGAGTAGAACCTAAAGCAAGTGTCTCTCACCAGACGAGGAGGGTTTCTTCGTTCTCTGACCACAAACCATGTCCCAGGCATAGCACTAGGATTGGGGGGGCTACCTACTTTGGCTCAGTGCTCCTTCCCTTGGGGAGGACCCTCTACTCACTACCCTGGAATCCCCCTCTCTGAGGCTGGAGTACCAGCCATGGTCCTCACCTGCTTTTTGGAGGTTGGCTTCCTCCCCAGCTACCATTTACCAAGCACAAGTATGTGCAAGTGCCCAGCTGTGATCTTCACAGAAGCCCCTTGAAATATATCATTGTGTCCACTGGCATGTTAAGATGCTGGGGACATAGAGCTTGCATTCTTGTCCCTTTTCCCTGGCCCTGAGCTTCCTTCCCCATGTGGAGGTGCCCTAACCCTGCTGAAACGGGCAGAGAGGACGCCCATCTCTGCTGGCATTCTTGTCAAGTTGTCCTGTGCATGTGTGACATAGGCTAGACCCCTCTCCATTGGGCAGTTGTCAGCCCAGATAAAAGATGCATGGAGAAGGTGCTCAGCATGGAAGAGGATCTGGACAGTTATCACTGGAAGAATTGCCCAACTCAAAGGTTAGGCAGGTCAGCTGCTAGAGCCTTGCAATAGGTAGGTAGGTTTCTACTCCTGCCATAACATATTATCACAAATGCAGTAGCCCTTAAAATAGCACAAATTGATATCTCATGGTCCTTTGGGTTGGAAGTCCAGCAGCCTCAGCTGGGTCTCTGTTACAAGTCTCTCAGGCTGAAATCGGGGTGCTGGCATGATCCTAACTGGAGCCGTGATCCTTTTTGGAGGTCTGGGGGAGACTCTGTTTCCTTGACCTCTCAGGTTGTTGGCAGAATTCAATTCTCTGTGATTATAGGACTGAGGTTCCCATTTCCTGTGAGCTATCAGCTGAGGGTTCTCACCTTCTAGAGGCCACCTACCACATTCTTTGGCTGTGTCCTTTAAGTCCCTCTTAAAGGTAGCAGTGACAGGCTGTGTCCTTCGCACAGCTTATGTCTTCTGAAAGACTTTGCAGCCTTCCTCCTCCACTTTGAAGGGCCCTATGATTGCATGTGGCCCACCCACGTGAGCCAGGATAGACTTCTAGGGCCAGCTGCTTACTAACCCTAATTCCGTCTGTGAAGTACATGGGAGTAACACCAGGGGCAAAGGTCATGGGGCCACAATCCCATCTAGACAGCTGGACCCACATGGGCCAAACCCAGAGCAGCTGCTCCCCAATTCAGCTCATAGCAGGCAAAAATCCAGCCAAGCAGTGGTGAGGTCAAGAGTCAACATTCCCACCTGGCCTGGGCTCAGCACCTCTGATGAGGACAGGCAGAGCCTCCAGCTGGCAGAGCCAGCCTTACCTTCACAAACAGAATAGCCCGCCCTGTCCTACCAGTCAGCAGACCCCAGGAAGCCAAGAATGCTCCACAGGTGAAACTGGGGTGCTTTGGGCACAGACCTGTCAAGCTGTCTGAGGAGGATGTTCTGGTGGGGAACCTGACCTCTGACCTAAAGATAGCCACCTGGGCACTTCCAGCTGTTCTGAAGTCAGGGGGCAACTTAGGGGTTGCTAATGGGGATTCTGGCAGATGGCCTTGCCAAAGATCCTTAGGCGTTAGTAACAGGGCACAGTGCTGGGACACCCAGGGACAAGACCTCTGGAGGCCCCTCCTTGTTTTCGTTTGCCATACCTGTTTCTCCATGCACATCTGTGCAGGAGCATTATGGGCCTCACGGTGCATGGCCCCCCAGCCGCTCTCCTTTCCTTTGCTTCATCTCCCTGTTCTTACCCCAAGAGCAGCCTGTCCCCATAGCAGGTCTACATCTCGGACAAGAGAGCAAGCTGATTTCATGGGAGCACCAAAAATTGCAGAAAACCACAGTTGCTGAGATGCATTTGCCTAATGCCTTTCCTGTTCCAGGGACCCAGGGTCACAGTCACCAGTTAACTGGGTCTTGAGTAGTCTTGCCTTCTCTAGGAAGTGATTTGGCCTCTGCCTGTGCCACCTTCTAACCCAGGTCACCACGGATCTTCGACAGCGTTGTACAGATGGCCATACTGGGACCTCCGTCTCGGCACCCATGGTGGCTGGAGTCATTGCCTTGGCTCTGGAAGCAAAGTAAGTTCCCACTTCCCTTCCTCTCCTCATTTTTTTTAAAATGTTTATATAGTGGTAAAATACACATATAAAAATGCCCGTTTTAACCATATTAATATTAATAAACTCAGTGGCATTAAACACATTTCCATAATTGTGCAACTACCACCATCCATCTCCAGAACTACTTCTTCCCAAACTGAAACACTTTATCTGTTAAACACTAACTCCCTGTATCAATCAGCTTCAGCCCTCTCTAATAGAGCACCACAGACAGGGTAGCTTGAATAGCAGGAGTTTATTTTCTCCAAGTTCTGGAGGCCGCAGGTCCTAGATTGAGGTGTCAGCAGGTCTGATTTCTCCTCAGCCTGCAGACAGCTGGTTGCCTTTTCCTTGCGTTCTCATAAAGTGCGCTGGTCACACTGGGTGAGGGCCCAACCTCACAATCTCGTTTTTTCCTAATTACCTTTTTAAAGGACCTAGCTACAGATGTAATTACATTCAGAGGTACTAGGGCGTAAGATGTCAATATACACGTTTTGGAGGGGATGTAATTTGTCCTTAACACTCTCCTCTGCTCCCCACACTGCCAGCCATGGCAGCCACCATTTTACTTTCTCTCTCTGTAGATCTGACGAAACTAAGAACTCATGTAAGTACAGTAACAGTGTGATTTCCCTTAACACAATGTCTTCAGAGTTCATCCATGTTGTAGCCTGTGTCAGAATCTCCTCTTTCTAGGCCATCGTAATGGACATGAAGTGGTTCCTTTACTTTTTTTTCTTATTTTTTTTAAGAATATAAAAATATAAGTTTATTTTATGTTAGAGAAATGGAAGACAGTGGGTGGGGAAGATATGAGAGAAAGAGAGCAAATAACAGGGCATAAGAGAGGGGTAGATTGGGTGGGGGAGAAAAAGAGCGAGAGAATGGCATGGTATCCCAAAGAAAGAAAGGAAGACTGCCGGCCATTCCTTTCTTTCTTAAATCCCACAATCTTCTACCCTTCGTAGGACATGGGCTAGGTGGGCCAGAGCCCCCAGCCTGCCTCCCATTCTGGAACTCACACCAAAACCTCATATTAGGCTGCTGTGGCTCCTCTTTAGAAACTTTAGTTTATAACTTGACAATAAAACATGATGCTGTTATAAGCCAAGGAGATGCTCTAGAATTATTAGTGCATGAATGGATCAGAATGAGCGCTCACTGCACATGCAGTCATCAGATCACAAGTAGATTGTAGTTTAGACATCAAAACTGGCGCAGCAACCTAGCCCTTTGCTGTATTAATTTGTCATAGATGAGTTTTTAAATAATTCAAAAAGATTGTTTGGGACGCCTAGTCCTTGTAATTAACTACATCTGCGTGTTGATTTGCACAGGTCAAAAGAGCATAACACTCAAATGCTACCAATTTAAGAAAGAAACAGTTCACTATTTTCAATTTGTAGGCCAAAATGTTAGCTTCTGTGTCCTGAGGCTCTTTTTAAAAAATTCTAAATAATTAGTCACTTGTGTGGAAAGTTGCATTCACATACTTAGTGATTCATTGCTCTCTGTTTTCTTCCATTTCTTATTAGAAACATGCAGGGAGTTTTGTTATCCAAAACTAAATAGAAAAAATAATCCTGCTTCGTGTCACACCATCTCATTAAACTTGGTCGACAGACACATAAAAACTCATATCTTCTCATTGTTTTAGCTCCTCCTCAGAAAGTTACAGGTGGCA